TCTATTCCCACCATACATTCAGAGACAGGACATGACTACAGGATGGGTCCACAATTCAAGTAAACTATCATAAGGCAGACTGTGACCACAACTCCATTTATTACCTGACATCCATAGATTCTCACCTTGATGGTGTTCACAATGGTATCTTATATTTTTGTGGATGAATCTCCATTTAGAACTGGTTTCTAGTAGCCTGGAGCGTTTGCTGCTCCTGTATGATTAACTTTGTAAATGGCTGTGGGTCCTTTTRGGGAAGACTTGGAGGAAGATCCACTGTGTATACTTAAAGCCACATTGCCATCTAGTTAAGGAGCTCCATATCTGTGAATGCCTTAGCACTGGGACCTAGGGAAAAGGCTGAATTCCTACTGGGAAGAGGCAACTATGACACACCATCCAATTGATTGTTTTTTCTAAGATTTCCAGTGCCAACCTCCAAGGTTCTGGGGCTTTGATGGTTTTAAGATAACAGCATTTTTTTCATTGCTGTCAATTAAAGTTTAGTAGTTATTCATTTAATTTAGTTTGACTCATCCCACCCTGATACCAACTAGAACGTGTGGCCTATTTGCATCATATTTCTTCCAAGTCAAATGACTTGCCTAAATTAATGGAACAACAACCCCTTGTCAAAGACTAATTCATGTATTCAGCAGTGCTGTCTGGGTCATGCTGCACCTCAGGGTGTTGCCATGTTTATTCTCTGTGGCATCTCTTCTTGAATGGAAAAAACTGGATAAAGGCCAAAAAGAGATTTTTATTCAGTCCCCAAACTCCTGAATATGGTCCAGAAGAGGTAGTTTGCCTATTTTAAATCTGTATATAAATGGGATTATATACTATGTATTCTTTAAAAAATTTTTTTATCCAATTTTGTGAAGCCATCGAACCCCTGGTCTTGTACATGCTAAGCAAGTGCTGTATCACCTGGTCCTCTCTTTTACTGTTGATAGATATATAGRCTTCCAGTTTGGGACTATTGTGTATAACACAGTTTTGAACATCCTTATACATGCCTTCTGTGCACCTATGTGTGCATTTTTTCTAAGATGGTGGTTCTCAAAGTGTGGTCCTTGGACTAATAGCATCAGTATCATCTAAATTTTCTTTAAAATGCAAAGCCTCAGGTTCCAGACCTACCATGAATACAGTGGCACCATTATTCTCTCAGGTAGAATATATCTAAATTCTCTCCAACGAAATCCAGCCATTTGTATTAGTTTTCTAGGGCTGCCTTAACAAAATGCCATAGACTGAGTGGCTTAAGCCACAGAAATTTGTGATCTCACAGTTCTGGATGCTGGCAATATGAAATCAAGGGGTCAGCAGGGCAGACAGGGAGAATCTGTTCTAAGCCCCTCTCCATGCCTTGTAGATGGCAAACTGTCACTTTGCTCCAGTGATGGAGATGTGGGGAAGGCCAGTTAGAGGTCACAGAGGAGAACTTAGATTTTTAGGATAAGATTGACAAAGTTTGTTGGGGAGGGGGCACTTGTAATATAGAGAGAATGGCATATACTGGGACCCTGGAGCATACACCCTCTGGGCACATTTGGGAAACACAATTAGGATTGAATTGCTGGTACAAATAGTTGACAGAATGGGGTAAAGCACCATGGCACTGAGGAAATTGATAAGACAAGAACCTGAATGCTCCCTGGACCAGATAAATTGCTTGAATTTTTCCCTGATAACAGATGGTTAGAAAATGATTTATAAATAAACTCCATGGCGGTGAACATTTTGCCTTATTCCACAACTGTATCCCCAGTGTCTAGAAGAGTGTCTAGCATGTAATAGGTTTAGTTTGGGTTGAGCCAAAATAAATAAGAAGTTGGATTCAGGTAATTTGTGTGGGAGATGATCCCAGAAATCACTTTCCTTTGAGGCAAAGAAAGAAGAAAAGTCAATGAAATTAAGTGTGAGGTTGAACAGGTTACAGCAGTGGGCAATGGGGCTGAGTATCACTGTGGACCCTTGGAAGAATCATATTGAATACCCCTCAGAATTGTCTGTGGAGGGCTGGATAACAGTCCAGCGTGATTCAGTTGCACTAAGTTTTGTTCTTTGAGAGTTGCCTCTGGAGGTATTAAATCCCAGGGACTCCAGGGTTGTTTGGAGCATAGAGAGGCACACACCTGGCTTTCTAGAAAACTTGCAGGATGAGAAGCAGAGTGTTCCAGGGCATGAGATGGGGAGGTGGTAGCACTGTCCATCATCAGCTGTGGATGGAGAGATGTGAGCTGGGGGATATGAGGCAGGGAAACTCCACCCGAATGGAACTATGGTTAACTTCTATGATTATTCTTTGAGGTTTCTGTGTTGGGGGGATGGTACTTGGGGTTGAACTCAGGGCCTTGCACATGCAGGCAAGTGCACTACTGCTGAATCCCAACCCCAACCCTTTCTGACTATTCTTTCTTTTTCTTTAAAATAAAGGCATTAAATATACATATTTTAAAATAGATGATGTATGGTTCTCCTTGAAAGTAATTAAGATCATTAATTGGAAAGAAAAAAAAATCTATACAATGAAATTTGGAACTGCCAGGAAACAGGAGCTGCTTAATCCCGTACTGTCCCTGTTCCCCTCGATGGCACAACACAGAGATGGCTTTCCTTTCATGGTTACAAACACATGCTGTAGACAACAGAGAGTACCTGTAAGGATCTGGAATGTGGACAAAGGGCCCTCTTCAGAATGAGCACTGGAAATAGGTCAGTTCACTCTCTGGGGACCGTGTCTATACAGCCTCTAACAAAACCAGGSTGTCCCAAACCCCTGGTAATAGAATTGTTTACCTTTATACAAAGAAAGTTGGGAAAGCACCAAAATCTGCATGTGGTGTGTGCCCAGGCAGACTTCGAGGGGTTCATGCTGTGAGACGTAAAATCCTTATGGGATTGTCTAAAACAAACAAACAAACAAACAAAAAATATGTCAGCAGGGCCTATGATGGTTCCATGTGTGCTAAATGTGTCCGTGACAGGATCAAGAGTGCTTTCTTTATTGAGGAACAGAAAATTGTTGTGAAAGTGWTGAAAGMACAAGCCCAGAGTCAGAAWCTAAATAAAACAATGAAGCTTCTTTGAGCAATAAGAAAAAAGAAAGAAAGGAGTAGTTCAGCTCGTTGTGCTTGGCCTTGTTGGTCTTGTAGGTGAGCAGGGTCAAGGGGCTCYTCTCATGGGGGAGATTCCTGAACACCCACAAGTGCATGAAGTTTTTACCACCAGTGTTCACCTTGATGAAAAAGTTTGTGCCTRCCACCACCTGGCTCTTGAAGGACACAGCCTTAAAAACAGGGAACTTCTGGTTTTCTTTTTTTTCCAGCTGGGACTTCACCTGGTTGGTGATGTCCTGCGTCTTTGCTGTGGCCATCTATGTGGCTCTGGGAACCTGGCACATACTGGTGGTGGAGCGTACAGCCAGGTGAGAGTATGGAACCAGGCTGATAGGACCAAATGGCCCTTCCTGACTATTCTTAACAATCTTTTTATGAGGACAGGAACCAAATACACTCATAGAATCAGGCACAGTGGAGCATAGGCTTACCAAAATGCAAGAATGAATGAGAAAGAAAGTTGTAAGGGGGAAACACGGATGAGTGGCTATGGTTAGTTGATTCGTTGAGAACTGGGAACAAAGGGATATGACTGGTCTAGTAGTTTTGGGTTTAGCTATGTCCTTGAAGTGAGGGTAGGCACAGCGGTATGACTGAGACTCTGTGTTACCAAGAACTAGTCAGCAAATTTCTCTGGGTTGTTTACCTGGGTGAGATGTGGTGTGGCCATGTCCCAATTCCTTAGAGCAGTCCAATCTTGATACCTGCCTGTTTGCTTACATCTATGAGTATCCAATGAATATGAAAGTGCTTTGAGGAAAATAAAGTTCTGTAAATAGGACCCTCTCGTGTTCGGTTGGGCTGAGCATGGGTCATCAGATTACCCACTCTCTTTTCCTGTTCTGTTTTGCTTTGGTACTAGGGATTCAACCCAGGGGTACTTTACCACTGAGCTATACCTCCAGCCTTTTCTCTTTTGAGACATGGTCTTTCTATGTTGCCTAGGCTGACCTCAAATTTATAATCCTCCTGCCTCAGCCTCCCAAGGAGCTGGAATTATAGGCATGAACTTCTATGYCTGGCTTCCACTCCCTTTTATTGAAAAAATTTATTTATTGATTGATTCTGAGGATTGAACCTAGGGCCTAGAACATGCTAGACAAATGCTCTACCACTGGACTACATCCCCAGTCCTCCCACTCCTTTTTAAGATGTTAAACTATCAGAAGCAAACCAGCAATTACCCTTAAATGTTAAATGTGTGCATACTTTGATCTCAGCACTGCTTGGTTAACCCTTGGGGGCACAATGGATGGGATAGCTCTGTCAGGGCTGGAGATCTTTTTTTTTTTAATTTTTTTTAAGAGAGAGAGAGAATTTTTTTTAATATTTATTTTTTAGTTTTCGGCAGACACAACATCTTTGTTGGTATGTGGTGCTGAGGATCGAACCCGGGCCACACACATGCCAGGCGAGCACGCTACTGCTTGAGCCACATCCCCAGCCCAGGGCTGGAGATCTTCGTAAGACTGCAGGTCTAGGCCTGTGTGGCATGAGGGATGGAAGGATGACTGGTGGCAAATATGGAGCCCATTTCCCCATAACTTGAAGGAAGGACAACCGGACCACACAGCTTGGCTAGGATGTAAGTGGGGAAGGCTGTCATTCCAGCTGTGTCCCACCTTCCCTATTTCAGGAATAACCAATGGAAGGAAAACCAGACAGAAGCCAGCCTTCTACCAGCCTCAAGGACTTACCCCCATTTCTCTCTCTTGAGAGTCTTTGACCAGTTCCCRCCCCCCAATTCTGCTTCAAGACAAGCTCACAGAAAGAATCACATAAAGGTCCACTTTAATGATATTTGGGTCATCAAAGAACTGCCCCTCTGAAGGGCAATGGTGAGGGCACTGAGGAAGGTTCGCTTCATATGAGGTCTCAATCAGCAACAAGGCTGTGGCCTGCAGTAGGAAGTGGCCCAGAGTATTCCTGAAAGAGAAGAAACAGGGATTAACCTGGAGTGTTAGTCCCTCTCACATGTCCTCCTTTTCCAAATGCTTCAATAAAGTAGGATTTAAGTAATTCTTTTTTGCAATGACTCAGCCCAGCAAGTGACAGCTTGATCCTTGGCTCCCACATATAGTTCCTCTTCCTGCTGTGATTCTCCCTCAGGTTGGGGGCTGGAGAAGAATGGCAGCACTTTGTTTGCATTCTTGGAAGTACCACGGCAACCARTTCCCCACAGGTAGGTCCTTGTCACTTATCTCTGATTATGTTGCCCCGGCAACCAATCCAGGTTTAAGAAGCCCAGCTGCCACTTTATGGGAGTAGAAGCCGGTTTCCTGGGAGCACATGAAGGGCTGAAATGCAGGTGGCCTCTAGATGAAGGGTGTGGCCAGTGGAGGGATGGTGCCTGGATCCACTGCGACCACCCAAGTCCAAGCTACCTCCATCTCCCTGGACCAGGTCAGCTGGCCTCTCCATTTTCATTCTTACTCTTCTCAACACTGATTCTCCAACATCACTAGAGTGGCCTTTTAAAATCATACGTAATGTTACAATATTCCTCTCCTTAAAATACCCCAGTTAACCTCCTATTGTACTTAGAATAATATCCAACCTTTCACTGTGATTCGTGAGACCTCAAGTGATCAGTCCTGGGCCTTCTTCTCCAACTTCATCTTATGCTAGTGATTTTTTTGTCTGTTCCTCTGATATACCTTAGTATTCTAGTCTTAGGGCACTTGTGGTTGCAATGATTTCTGCCTGGGATGTCTCTCCTTTATATCTTCTTCTGGATTTCACCTTCTGATAGTTTAAGTCTTAGTCCAAATAAAGCACTATGGAGGCATCTGATGTTTGGAACAGCCCCACCCCTGCTACAGTCCTTGAGAGGAAGAGCAGGACCTATGTAGGGGAAAGAACTGGAAATCATGAGACCTGGGTCCAGTCCTGGCCCTGCCATGAACATTTTGCAATCTTGACTAAGTCTCGTAACCATCCTGGGCCGCAATTTCTCATCTATAAATATAGGTGGGAATACTAGATGAGTGGTTTCCAGTATAGACTCTGAAGAGTTCAAAGATCCTAAGGATCTTTGACAAGGAGCTATCTCCGAACCTTACTCAGGTGACTTGCCCAGGCCACAGAGTAGAGCAAGGCAGGGACTAAATATGAAGCCTCAGGGCTGTGTTTCCCACTTATCTAAAGGAACTTTGCTATCACTTGATGAATACAAAGGAGTATATGGTAAAAGGAGGACCTTCTTATCTAATTTTGTGTACTCTGAAGATTTCAATGCCTATTGTAAATTCAATGGCCAAGTGAGTTATGGTGGCTTACACCTATAATTCCGGCTGAGGCAGGAGGATTGTTAAGTCAAGACCTCAACAACTTAGTGAGACTGTCAACAACTTAGCAAGACACTGTCTTGAAACTTAAAAAAAGTAAAAAAAGGACTGGGGATGTTGCTCAGTGGTAAAACACCTCTGGGCTCAATCCCTAGTACCACCACCACCACCACCAACAACAACAACAACAACAACAAACTCCATGGTGATGCATGGTCTTGTAGTTCATCTCCTTAGAAGTTCTCAGCACCTGCACCATGTCCCATTCCTCACCTCTCATATGGATGCCTTATAGGTAGTCTTTGAGAGATACAGGAAAGCAGAATTACCCTTTGTCAGGGAAAGGAAAAAAATTTTTTTCTTCACTTAGTTGTTATCACCCCAATACCCATTGTCTCTTTCATACCTGCCACTCTCATTTAAACAAGTCCTTGATGATTCCAACTTCCTTAGAAAAAATGAGTCCCTCACCTTGATGGGATTGGTCACCTCTTGTTTTAGGGCCTTTGGAACCACTTTGGAGGTGACGCACTGATCTCTGTTCAACTTGGACACTGGGCTCTATAGGCAAGAAGGCAGGAGTCAGAAAGGAGGCAGAAAAGGATTAGAGGATCCCAGAGGGAAAGTGATGGGTTCAAAGTCAGGGATTCATAATTCCTGGGAAGATGCATGAATCTCACCTTGGGAAATAAGAGTTGAAGCTTTTCCTCTTGCTTGCCCCTAGAAGACACAAGAATGACAGTGGGCCGAGGCTTGCTAACCCACCAACCCCCTTTTTCAGGCATAGCTAAGTATCATGGGATTATTCCCTGATGGTCCCCAAAGGGACTTCTGAAGCAGCCACCCATAGTACTCCTGGTAGCTCCTACTCACCATTTTAGGACTGTTCCTTCCCTGCTCTGTGTCTGCCAGACAGCAAGGGCCAACCACAGGCCTCACATACCTCATCGCAGTGGTTTTAGTGGGGAAAACTGCCTTTCCATCCTTCATGCATGCATCTTGGGGGTGAAGTAGGCTGATGTGCTTCATCTTTTGGGTCATCACATCCTGGGTGGTGTCATCCTTCCAAAACAGACCTGCGGGGTGAAAGGATGGAGTGAGTTGCCACTTGGAACACTGACAGGGATCATGGAGAGGTTTCCCTCAAGTATACATGGGATCACATTGTGTGGAGAAAATTAAATAAGACGGTGTATAAAAGATGCTTAGCTTAATGCCTGGCATGTAATATTCAATTAAAATTCTGATTAGTTTCTTTGCTGACTCATTTGATGCTACCGTGAGGATTAAATGAAATTAGGAATGTAAAGAGTATTCAGAAAACTCAGAGGCAGTAATTCTCAAGCTTTAGGATGCATCAAAGTATCTTTCAAGGCTTATTAAAACTCAGATTCCTGTTCTCAAAATTCAGAGTTTCTGATTCAGTAGGTCTGGGATGGAAATCAAGAATTAGTATTTCTGACGAGTTCCCTATTGATGCTGGTGTTGCTGGTCTGGGATGCACTTTGAGAACCACTGCTCTGAGACATGATAAGCACAGTAGGCATTAGCAGTAGTGATATGAACTTAAGGCAGATTTTCTATCTGACTTTCCCCTCCCCCATTCACAAAATTCTGCTCTAAGGAAGGGTCAGCATCTATCTCCAGTGGACTCCCTTTTATCCTTCTCTTCTATTTGTCAGATACTTTTCCCTGCTTCCTACACAGAGGCTGAGGTATGTGCATGTGCTTCTGGCTGAGTTCTGGCTCAGGAAAAACTCAGATAGTGCCAGGGAGTTGAGTCCCCAGGAATTTGATTAAGGCCTCTCTCAGGAGTTTCTTCTAGAAGCATCTGCTAGGCTATTCCAGAGTGTTCAAGTGCAAGTAGCTCATCCATYTAGATCCATCCCCACTCCAGTTTCAAGTAGAGACATTTGACAAAGAGAAACTGTCCCCAGGTCCTCAGTGCTTGCCCCACAGGCCCCAACCTCGGCTCTTTGGCTTATACTTACCTTGAGGTACAATTTGGTGGAGTATGACTTGTAACTGCCGGAAGACTGAAGCAGTAAATCCTTGGACSGGCCAGGGCTGTCCTGCTCCTACTTGGCTCTTACAATCTAAGGGCAAAATAGTGGAATCAGCAAGCAGCTTGKCCCAAATCCCAGTGGAAGAGACGCAGCTAGCTTCTCTTCACCGGCATTCCTGAACCAGGCCCTTTCCCCTCTTCAGGTCCTCTTTTTTCCAGTTCCCCTTCCCCCCATCACCACCTGCCCTGTTCTTCAGTCCCTGGGCCTCATTCACCCTTGGTGTAACTTCCAGATAGGAACCAAGCTTATAGGCAAAGAGCAGCCTGTGGATGTTCAGGTGAGGAGAGGCTCAGAAAGCTACCTCCTAGAATGGATAATTGATGGATGGTGTAGTACTGGAAGAAGGTGAGCTCCCTCTTAGAGAATCTTTAGAAGGGTTAAGGGGAAGACTTGGAATTTTTAGAGAAAGTATCATCACCTCAGTATCTTCAGGAAATTGGATCCAGGACCACCACCCCCACAACAAAATCCACAGATGTTCATGTCCCTTATAGAAAATGGCTTAGTATTTGCATATTACCTATGAACACTCTCCTGTATATTTTAAATCATCTCAATTACTTATAATATTAAGCAAAATGTAAATCATTGTTTACTGTATTGTTTAGGGAATAACAAGAAAAAAAAACTTGTACATGTTCAGTACAGACACATTTTTTTCTAAATATTTTTGACTCACAATTGGTTGAATTAGAAGATGCAGCACTCCCTCATGTAGGACACGCAGACCCGGAGGGCCATCTATATGGGTATGTATAGGAATTGAGAGTATGGATACTTMTACTGAAAGCTAGAACTGTGCATAAGGGAAAGGGAGGTTTGAAGAAATACAGTCCCTAATGCCAAACACACCTTTCTTATTACAGATTGATGGGATAGGAAGTCCACTGAGGGCGGGTGTACTGGGGATTGAACCCAGGGGCGCTTTACCGTTGAGCTATACCCACAGCCTGTCTGTCTGACTGTCTGTCTATCTATCTATCTATTTATTTTAAGATAGGGTCTCGTTCAGTTGCAGAAACTGGCCTGAGTTTCCGATCCTCTGCCTCAGTCTCCTGAGTCCCCGGTAATTTCAGGCCTGCCCTACTGCGTCCGAACTTTTTTTCTTTATTTTTAAAACAAATCTATCATGGAATTATCATGAATCTTTCTAGGCATGTCTTAGAAAAGGGAATTCTTCCTCTTCATATGGAGCCCTAATAACAATTTCCTGGCCTCAGGAAGGAGTGAAACCTCCAGAACTCCATGGTGAAGCAAAAGAGCTTCGGGAAACGGAGATGATTCTCTGAGATCCTAGAGCGGTGACAGGAAACGCCCCGCTGAGACCCTGCGAGCGCCTGGCGCTGCCCGTGGTGCTGGAGGGTCGGTGAAGCCTGGTGTGGAGGCGGAGCTGAGCTTGGCGGTCCTTCCCCAGCACCCTCCATCACCTCCGCCACCAGGCCTCCTCCCACAGCTCTTTGGGAGTCTTGTGCGTAGATCTCTAAACCCAAGATCGGGCAGGAAGAGTGGGCGCCCAACTAGGAGTTTGCCGCTCTCCCCCACGTGGCCTGGGCATTCTCGAGTCTCTGCAGTCCCTCTCCAACCGCGTGAGTCAGCGCTGCGGCTCCCGCGATGGCGCAGAGCAGAGTGGGAGGAAGAAGGATGTTCTCCTTCCCCTCCCTCCCCTCCTGATTTACCCGTCGTCACCCTTCCCTCTTTGGAAATCGGATCACAGTCACTACTAGACTGTGGGCCTGCGCTGAGCCTTGGTCCGTCTCTCGACKTAGCCTTCTCTCTGGAGCCAGGACCCCATACCCGAAGACCAGCCCTCCTGGTCCCTTGCCAGTACCTAACCCAGGCCATCTCTTCCCCGGCCCCTCAGCAAGTCTGGCTTCTCCTGTAGCCGCCTTTTCACCCATTTGTCTTCCTGACCTCCTCCCGAATTCCCAGTCTTCCCTTGAGCCCGCTCCCCTTGGGTCCAAGACACCACAGACATCCCAAGTCCACCTCTTTCTGCGATGCTCTCTGTATACATTCCTCTCTCCTCATGAGCCCGAACACATTATTTTCCTCCTGATTTTCCTCGCCTTGAGGCCTCCTGACCCTCTTCTCAGAATTGCTCTGGCCCTGCCCGCATTCCCCCCCCCCCAGGTCTCCTCCTGACCGTGGCCACTAATGTCGCTGCAGCCCCCTGGACAGCTGTTCAACAGCAAGAAGCAGACGAGCAGGTGGAGCCCCCCGGGTCCCCCAGGCAACTGCCGGCGCTGCATCCTCTCGGGATCTACGCGCTCACTCCCCCGCTCTAAGTCCTAGAGAAAGTGGAGACAGCCGGCAGAGGGACTGTGCGGGGCTGTCTGTCGCTTTCCACCGGTTAGAGACGCGGGATCTGCGTAGCCCTCCTGTGCAACTGGGCCAATCGCTAGCGGGCCCTGCCCTGGAAGACGCCTACCCAATTTCTCCTTCCCCTTATCACCTCCCTCCACCGCGCACCTTCTGGAATTTCCAGTTCCGTTCCTTTTTATAATTTTTAAAAATTATTTTTAAAAGTTGTAGATGGACAAAAATACCTTTATTTGTTTATTTTTTATGCGGTGCTGAGGATGGAACCCCCTGCCTCACACTAGCTAGGCAAGCGCTCTACCATGGAGCTACAACCCAGCTCCCCTATCCACCCCACTCTCTCTCTTTTTTTTTTTAACAGAAACTGGGTCTCAAGGACCACCACCTTTATTTCCAGTGCACCAGTCCAAAGTTAGAGAAAACAATCGCATGTAAGATGTAGGTGGGAAATTGTGCCTACCTCATGCGTTTGTTGTGAGTCATAAATATGAACTGAGACGGAACAGTAGATTCTCAATGAATTCAGTATATTTTTGTTATCCTTGACCGTTATTTTATCCTCAACCATCTGAAAACCTTTAACAATCATATGGATCTGACCTGCAAAATATATTGCACATCCATCCACTTTTTTCCACATCTTTTGCCATCTCTCTAGTCCAAACCACTGTACTATTTTATAGAGGTCTTGCAATAACTAACTGGCTAACTGACCACTTGCTTCCAATGTGTATTTGTATGATAGGTGTGAGCTTTCTAAACCCTGGACTGGCATTTCAATATAATTTTTTTGTTGTACTCTGGACGTTTTAGGTTGACATTGTTAACGCTCTGAGTTACATTATCTATCTTTAAAAAGGGTTGTTTGTTCTGGCAGAAAAATAAATTTTTTTGTAGAAAGCCTTGATCCTACAGCCGGTCAGAACAGGAGTATTTCAGTTCTGCTTTTAATCCTCAGCCATATCCTTCAGTCTTGGGATATGGTAATTTCAACTTAGGTGTGGTCCTTTCAGAATTCTACAGGAAACTCCAAGGTGTTTACCAATGCCCTCTAATTTTATGGGTTCTGAACTCCAGACTTGGTCTCCCTAATACTGTGGCAGCTGACAAAAATCCCTGTTCAGCTATCTGRCTTTCGTATTAGATTCTTTGAAATCTCACCCTGTACATGTGCCATTTAGAAGATTGATAAGGATTTGAGCAGAATTTGTAAGTAAATTTTGGAATCCCTCTCTGTAGATCAGTCATTTTCCCAAATTTTGACCTCAATTTCCAGGTGCTGTGACATTTTTGTACACCCAACTCTACTTCTCAGCCAGTAAAATGTCACTTCTGTAGTACACTTTGTCTGTGTACTACAGTATGAACTGTGAAGTATCTTTAGAGGGAAATCCTGTCAAATATGAGCTTCACCTGGTGAGGCTTCCCTTTTTCAAGGATTATAGGCCCTCTCATTTTTCTTGCTTTTGGTTGGTCTCCATGCTTACATACAGTTATTTTTATTTTTATATTTGGTCTGGAGTATATATTCAATGTTAATAGGAGGATCTGACACAGCAGTTTTGCCCTGCCACAAGCTGGAAATTTATCTGGTTATCAGTGATTGTGTGCTAGACATATTATTTTTATTTTTTATTAGAGCATTATAGTTATACATAGTAGCAGGGTTCATTTTGGCAAAATCACACCTACATGGAATTTGATTTCTATCCCCATTCTCCCCACTTTCCTTCACCTCCTCCATCCYTATATATTTTTAAAATTTTTAAATTTCTTCTTTTTAGTTATACATGACAGTAGAAATATTTTAACATATTGTACGTGATGTGGCGTTGCATGGCCATGTATGCATATATGAATATAGGAAAGTTATGTCCAATTCATTTTACAGTTCCCTCTTCATATTCTCCTTCCTCTACAGATCCTCCTTTCACTTGTTTATTGATTGATTTTTTAAAAATAACTTTTTATTCTATTTATTTATTTTTTATGTGGTGCTGAGGATCTAACCCAGTGCCTCACACATGCTAGGCAAGTGTTCTACCACTGAGCCCTAGTCCCAGCCCTATTCATTGATTTTYGAGAGGTACTTTCTATATACATAAAGGGGAAATTCCCTTTAGCACATTTTTATATGTACAAAATGTGATTTGTTAAATTCATTCCATATTTCCTCCCCTTTCCAGTCCTTTCTTCCTCACTCTTGATCTATTTCTTCTACTCCACCTACCTTCCTTATATACTTATTATATTCAATTCCTCAACACCCTGTTTTCTTTCCCTTCTTTTGTTCTAGCTTCCACATATGAGAGAAAATAGTCAATCCTTGACTTTCTTTTTTCTTTTTCTTTTCTTTTTGGTACCAGGCATTGAACCCAGTGGCACTTAGCCACTAAGCCATATCCCCAGCCTATTTTATTTATTGAGACAGAGTCTCCCTAAATTGATTGCACAGGTCCTTGCTAAGTTGCTGAGGCTGGCTTTGCATTTGCAATCCTCCTGCCTCAGCTTCCTGAGTCACTGGGATTATAGGCTCAACTGCAACTMSATCAACCCTTGATTTTCTGAGTCTGGTTTCTTTCACTTACCATTATGGTCTCCATTTCCATCCATTTACCAGAAAATACCATTATTTCATTCTTCTTTATGGCTGAGTAAAACTCCATTGTGTATATATACCACATTTTTTTGATCCATTCATCTATTGATAGACAGCTGGGCTGATTCCATAATTTGGCTATTGTGAATTGTGCTACTATAAATATCAAAGTGGCTATATCACTAAGGTATGCTGATTTTATTTTTATTTTTATTTTTTTGATAAMTACCAAGGAGTGGGGTAGCTGGGCCATATGGGGGTTCCATTTCTAGTTTTTTTGAGGCATCTCCATACCGACTTCCAGAGTGGCTTACTAATTGGCAGTCCCACTAACAATGGATGGCTGTTCATTTTACTCCACAGCCTTGCCAAAATTTATTATTATTTGTGTTCTTGATAATTGCCATTCTGACCAGAGTGAGATGAAATGTTAGTGTTTTGATCTGTATTTCCTGATTGCTAGAGATGGACACATTATTTCTAATTAGTTTATGGAAAAATTTGAGGCCGAGGAGCAAGTGAGTATGAACCTGCTTTGAAAAGTATAAAGCTCCTGTTGGCCTTCAGGTGGGATAAGCACAGTAGGTATGTTCCTCTCTCTCTTCTAAGCTTTCAATCTGCCAGAAGAATACCTATCAAAATATGTGCACAAGCATTGACACTGCACTTCACTTTTGCCATTTATTGCATGGGGACTCCAGTGCTGAGGGCAATACCCTCAAAAGACAAGGAGGTTCTATTGAACTTGGGGTCCACAGGGAGGAAATTTCTTCCCACAGGATGAAAGACCCCCATGGGAAGATATGTGGGATGACATCAGCCTGGCAATCATAAGATAGTTTATGGTGCTCTGCCTGTTCTCAGGATCCTTAGGTTGATAAWGTCTCATTATCTTATCAATAGATAACATTTGGAATGGAACCTATATTATAGGTGTCTTAAAATTGTGCATCTCCCTTTGCTTAACTTACTAAAAAATACATGTATTAGTACATTGCACAAGGTTATTTTCATAAGTGAGCAAATTTACAGAATTTCAAGATTTTTGAGTGAAGATTTGCAGATTTCCTAGAAATTTAGGAATTACAATCTGGGGAAAAGCTAGCATAGCGCTTTACCACTGAGCTACAGCCCCAGCCGCCTAGATTCCATTTGTACCAAGGAAATGTGCTATTCCTTTTCCCCTCCTCAAATGTCCCCTCTGTATCTGCACTGGCCTTACACATTTTACTTCAGAGGCTCTGGCTGAGGCCCACTCTTTTTGCTTCCAGATAGGTTCAAAGAGTTTCCAGGAAAAATCCAATAGCAGTTTTTCCTAGAATGGTCCCCTGAGGGACAGTGCAAAGGCTCAGGCCTTGATCTGTTAGTTTTACTTAGAGGAAAGAGCTCAGAGAAGCTCTAACATGAAAGGAAAATGATGTTTGGAATTTGTGTGTTTATATGCCGGGTTTCCCCCTCCACAGTATAGAGCAGGCTGTAACTGTGGTCTTGGTTAGGGCAGATCTTGAGGCACAGGGACTCAGCAATTACCTGACAGCTGGCCTCCCCTTGGCTCCCAAGTCCTGATTCCCCTGCCCCACCCCCACACCAACAGCCCCAATTCCCAATTTTCCMTTAGGTATAGAGCTAGTCAAGGACCCTGAGGCTGGAGAAGAATGGCAGATTCTTGTTTTCATGCTTCGTAGCACCATGGTAACCAGTTTTCATTGTGGGAATCAGTCATTTAATGCTAATGATGTCACCCCTACTGCCAATTCAGGCAGAAGAAGCACAGCTGCCATGGTGACAGGATTCAGAAGCAGGTGTTGGTTTTTTTTGTTGTTGTTGTTTAACATATGAGAATCTAGTGTCCCCTGAGGCTCAGACTGCTCTGGCACAGCACCTGGCCCACTGGAGGTGCTCAGCTGGACTGCTGTTGCCAAGTTCAAGCCACCTCAGTGTTCCTTACACCAATACAATTCTTCCTAACAGGTCTAGCCATTCCATTCTCTTCCATATCATATGTTCTCCAACATTGTTATGGTAGCTTTTAAAATTATATGAGATATTCTATTCCCTTCCGTAAAATCCCCAGTGATTTTCTTCCACACATTGCATAAGCTCTAGACCCTTTACTATTATCTGGAAAGCCCTGTATGGTCAATTTTGAGATTATTTCTCCAATCCTACTGCCTATCACTGGATATTCTTTTTGTTCCTTTAACGTGCCCATTTGAGAACTAAAAAAAATACAACAACTAAAATAAAAGGTCAATGGATGGGGACTGGGTTTATAGCTCAGCAGGAGAGCACTTGTCTCCCATATGTGAGGCACTGGGTTCCATCCTCAGC